ATTTAGATTCACAGTGAACACCCACAGAAGGAGGAGTCCAGACATCAGATGACATACTACACTGGGCAAATCTTATGCAAAACACTCGTTTTAACACTTTAAAGTAAAAGCAGAAAGGTCACTTTCTGGACTAAGGTGCACTTTCAGTAGCTTCATATGCCTGGACAATAAAGGAAGATTCGCCTTTGAGGCGAGCTCTCAGAGGCACGTGGTTCAAATCCACCAGATGCTCTCCTGAAGAAGGAGGGACAATCTCCTCCTGTACCAGTCAGATCCAATTTGATGGTACACACACACAAGATAATTAAAAAAAAAAAGATTTGCCTTTGAATCGTGCTGTTGATTCTTCAGGATTAACAGAAAAATGAACACACTTGCCTCAGGAGAAGTGTAGCAGTGTGTTTTTAGAACTGAGACATCTCATATACCTTGGACATCTTATCAGGAGAAGCCAATCCCTGGAGAAAGGCTATTTTTGGTAAGACAGTTAAAAAGAGGAAGTCCCTTTGGAAGGCGGATTAGCACATTGGCTCTATCAGTGGGTCCAGACATAGCAAAGCTATTATTAGTCGAAACTGGCTTGATGACACCTCAGAACAACAGTTGTTCTATATATTTTGGTATTTTGTATTTTGTTGAAGGATTGTCCTTTGAAATTAGGATAAAGAAAATTTTTTGTTTGTTTAAATGGCTTCTCTCTCTGTTTTTTTTTTTTTTGCATTGTGTTATAAGAGAGCCATCATTCAGTGATGTTTCTTTCTTTGACTTGAAGAAATTTGTAATTCCAGGATAAAAACTATAGTTATCAAAAGCAGTTTGCTTTCTAAAGCTGTTCATAGTTTTTCTAGGAGCTTTGGTTTCATATTCATGATACACATACTTATTAAACAGTAAAAATGTTGGTTTGGAGTTTCTAAACCTCTCTGTTGGATACAGTGAAATGGTATTTATAGGGCACTGAGAATTAACCTGAAAATGATGTTAGCTTGATAAGTAAATAGAATAGAAACTGTGCTCAGCAAATCCACTTAACAGATTTACCGGTCTGTCTGCTGCTCTCTGGCCCCAGCAGAAGCTCCCATGTGTCCAAACAGTGGTCTCTGGGAGCCTGGAGTGGATCTCAGTTTCCCTTCTCTTAGTGGTGGTACAGCACTGTATGTTTTCAGACACAGTGCTGCCTGATTGCTTCTTACTTAAAACTGTCATTTTATTAAATAAAAAACTAGTTAAAAGTGTGAAAAGTTTTATCTGAAAAGATTAGCTTGAATGTTTGGGAAAGCTTGATAAAGGCAAATTGTTAAGACATTTTAAAGACAAGACTATAAAAGGGGAGCACGTGCACCCATGTGAAGGGAGGGGATAGAACCAGGGAGAATCCAGTGACCACCTGCAAGCAGTACAGCTGGAGCTCACGCACTGCAAGTTTTTCTTATGGGCAAATTAGTACATTCTGGAGTTGTTAAAAATATTTTGTTCATTTTTTTCCAGCTTACTACCACTTCTGAAAATCTGTGTGGCTAGACTTCAGTTATTCCTCCCTATAAATTTAAACTATTTATAAAGAAATTCTCACAGGAAGTACATTTTCTTGAAAAATCCATTTTACCTCTAGATCTATTCTTCACGATTAAATTGTGAAGGAGCTCACTCACTTCCTGACACATTCTGGCGGTTACCACATCAATCCACCTGGTCATGGGTCACAAAGGAGCTTTATGAAGTAGAACAACCAGCTAGTGTGTCAGGGACCTCTGCTTTGTCTGAAGAGAGTGCCAACAGCTGATAGCATAAAGTTTTGGTGCTTTATAGGAAGACTTCATGTTGTTGTTATGTACCAAGCCATAGACGACTCTCTAGTGGGTTTTCAGAGGCTGTAAATCACATGGGAGGAGCCTGCCCATCTTACTCCTGTGCAGCAGCTGGTGGAGTCAGGCCACACGTCTTTGGGCTGGCAGCCCAGCTCCTTACTACCAAGCCACAAGAGCTCCATGGGAAGGACATTAATGGCAGTGATTGGGTGGCAAATGAAATTACGATGCAGAAAGCAGTCTGTAACCAAAGCAGATGGCTCTGAATGCAGGGAAGGAGAAAGGATATATTCACACCACAGGCATTGTAGATTTCTATATTATAGTAATTTTTCGTTGGCTATCAAGAAAATGCTTTATTCTAACAAATCATGACAGACAGAAGTAAAAGGTCTTGCAGAAAGGAATAACATTTTAAAAATTACACAGAGGTAGCTTCTGAGCTGGTGTGAGATGTGAGGGAATGGATCCATAGCTGAAAGTTGTACATTAAGTAGTCACCAGAGATGCTTTGTGTTGAATAACGCTGAGAGAAAGATTTCTTACGCTGAGTAATACTGTACATGAAGAGTTTTATGATGATTAAAAACTAGAGACTCTTCTGTGACAAATCATCTCTTTATAAGAAATTTTATTAATGGAATTCTATCGTGGCTTAATGGTAAGATACTGTGCTGCAATCCCAAAGTCATGTGGTTCAAATCCACCAGCTGCACCATAGGAGGATGGGCATTCTTAATCCTGAGTGAGTAACGGCCTCTGAAAACCTGGTGGAGGGTCAGCTGGGTCAGTTCTAACTTGATGGTACACAACAACCCAATAGAGTGGCCAACAGTGCAGTAGTGGGTAGTAGTGATTTTCCTACAAGATCAGTATAGTTTTAGTATCAAGGTTGTTATTTTCCAGTAATAACCAATACTTTGGGATTTTATTTTATTCTATTTTTAAGAAGAGTTTGTATGGTATGATTTCTTCCTTATATTTTAGGAAGAATTTGTCAGTAAGGCCATTTGAGTCTACAGTTTCCTTTGTTCAGCGACAAATTATGTTTCTCTAATAGGTATTGTACGTAGTCAGGTCATATATTTTTCTTTAGATGATTTTAATAGTTTGTATTTACCAAAGATTTTGTGTTCTTAACTTCATGATCATAAAGTTGTTCATAACATTTCCTTTTATTCTTTTAATGTCTGTAAAGTTTTGGTGATGTTCTATTTCTGACATTGATAATTTTATCTTCTTATAAGTAAGTGGTTAGGTGCTTACAATTTTTCTCGACTGTTTCAAAGATCTACTTCTTCGTTTCATGGGTTGTTTTTTTTAATTTCTTTCCTTTTACTTGCTCATGTTTAAGGAACTTTTTTCTACTCCCTTAGAGTAAAAATGTCATTGATTTGAAACTATTTCTAATATAGGCATTATTGTTCTTAATATCTGTTTGAATTGAAACCTGTTATTCCCTATTAAAACTCATAGTTTCCAGTAAATTCTGTGTGACCATTGCAACAGATTTGCAGACTCAGTAGAAAGTAGTGAGTGTAAGTGAGAAAACCTTTAGAATGTGGAGCACGAGGACATGTCTGGATTCATAGGAATTATGTTTGGGTGGTGGTGTTATTAAATGAGGGTTTTCATATGTTGTGAATTTCATGTGCTATACTTTTCATTTCAGAATATTTTCTAATTTCTCTTAATTACCTTTTGAATCATGAATTTAGTGTGTATTTTTTATTTATATTTAAATTTTATTGTAGTTTGTTAAAAAGTATACAGAATAGTTTTCAAATCCGTTTGTATACAGTGCATTTTCATGACATTGTTTCACTTTTAATTATTTGGGGATTTTCTAGATACTTACTAATATATAGTATAATATCTTATGATCAGAGAACATTTATTGTGTAATTGGAGTTCTTTCATTTATGAGCAATGAAAATGAGAAAAATCCTCAATGAGATAGCTTGATGCAGTGGACATGCTAAAGATCGTGAAGATGACACACAGAGTCAGGCAGCATTTCTTTTTAGATTACTGTGGTTGCCATAGGGTGGCCTAATGATTAGAGTTGTACTGCCAACTCAAAGACAGGTGATTCAAATCCAGTACCTTCTCCTCTCGTGAGAGTTATATAGCCTCCAAAAACCTGCTGGAGAGTCCGTATTGGGTGTTTTGTGTAATGTCGAGTCAGAACCAACCCGTGCTGACCCTCAGCGGGTTTTCAAAGGTAGTGCCCATCCTCCCGCAGAGCAGCTTGTGGATTCAAACTTCATGCTTTCGAGATTGCAACACAGCTTCTTGCCACTAGGCCACCAGTGCTCCAACCACCACTGCTGGAGAGTCTGTTGTTGTTGTTATGTACCGTCGAGTCGTTTGCGACTCATAGCGACACTATGTACAACAGCCCTAAACCCTGCTCTATCCTGTGCCAATCGGATTGCCTCTGACACACCCATCCTGATTACCCCAGTCACTGAATCATTCCACCTCATAGAGGACCTTCCCCTCCTGCGCTGTCCCTCTACCCTACCAAGCATGATGTCCCTCTCCAAGGACCTGTCTCTCCTTACAACATGTCCAAAGTATGTCAGACAAAGCCCCGGCATCCTTGCCTCCAAGGAGTAGCCTGGTTTAACCCTCTCTAGGATGAATCTGTTTGTTTTCTTGGCAGTCCATGGTACATTCAATACTCTTCTCCAGCACCACAGCTCAAAAGCGTCAATTCTCCTTCTATCCTCCCTAGTCATTGTCCAACTCTCTGATGCATAACAAGTGATTGCAAAAACCATGTGGGTAAATTCCCACTCGTCAGCAATGGTTCTGAAGGTGTTTATATAGCCATCAGTCAGAGCCAAGTAAGTCATTGGCAACTAACAATGACAACAAATCAGAATTCAGCAGTAAATATTTTAGACTTTTGACAATACAAAGAACTAGAATAAATAGAACTAAACAAGTCAGTAATTGTGATCTAATAAACATTATCTATGAAATCAGGTGTTGGATGCACATCATCAGCCATTGTTCTGAATAATCAAATAGAATTGAGATTTCTGTGGTCCCCTCCTCTCTCTCAGTAGGTATTTTATATTCTCTTGACAGTCAATAGGAATCTCAGCTTCATATACATGGCGATTTCCTTTGTTTTCACCTATAGAGTTTCTTGTCAGACACGTGTTCTTCTTCTCTTGCCAGGGATGAGCAGCGACAGTGACATTGAATGTGACACTGAGAATGAGGAGCAGGAAGAACATGGTAACATGGGTGGATTTAATGACTCTTTCATGGCACCACTCCCCGATGAAGGTGAAGCATCTGTCACATCACACAGATTAATAAACACGCTCCTCCTCTTTTTCTATTACTTGTTTGTATGCTTTTTCATTATTGCTGTTTATGATACAACATTTTACTGAGTAACGAGTTCTGGAAAAATAATGGTAATTATTTTTGCATTGGTTAGATTGCAGGCCAACAAAATCTTTTTATACAGCCTATAATCTATGAGTGGTTGGTGCATTGTTAAGAGGTAGAAAAGAAAAGAATAGGCAACCCAGAGTACACGTGGCCTACAAGATCCACTCTACTTTGCATCTGTCCCTTTACAGGAACTCTGATGGTGTTCCCCTCAGTGTGCTGTGCCGCTGCCAATGGTCACATGTCTCCAGTGGTTAAAATCCACCACAGCTGCACAGGAGAGATTCATAGCTTTGGAAATCTAATGGAGGGTTGCTATGAAAATGTTCTGGATCTCCTAGGGAGCTTCCAGATGTTAGATATATGTACATCAGTTTTATTTTGTTTTCAGATAAACTTTCAGTTTATCTTTAAGGTAGTTTGCCAAATATATCTTTTTCTACTTAGAAATGCTTGCAGTTTATAGAATCATCTAGTTTTATTATCTTTAAGACCCTCCCATCACTCAATGAGAACAATACACTGTTACTAATTTTCCTTATTTTTATTTGCATTCTTGTATCTAAGCGACTTTTGTGACCTACAGTTTTTGGGATTTGACCTAATATTTCATAACTTTTTTTATTTTGGTGAAATATAATCTTGTTGTTGATTGTCTTCGAGTCAGGCACGACTCAAAGCGACCCTTTGAGCAAAAGGCCTGAAGCCCCCCTCTACAGCTATCAACATTCATCAAAGTTGATAGAGTTTCCTGAGGCAAGTTGTTTAGAAAGTAGATGCCATTCCTGCTTCCAAACCTGTCGTACTAGGTTATATTAATTAATATTCTGTCATCTGGATATACCATAACCATCCTCTGACTGAGAAGAGATTAAGTACAGATTAAATGTTGAAAGGATATACATTTATTCCTCACTTTTCCCTCAGTTGTCATGCTATCTTAACATTTCAGATTTATCACTTGTAAAAGTCTGGTGTTTGTTAAAGTAGTGAAAAATCTACTGGCCAACTTTTGTTGTTAATGCATTAATGATGCACATAAGAGGTGGGAGATGACTGTGCTGGTGTGATGGCACGGGGTTTATGGTGGCTTGGCTAGGCCAGAATTCTCGGGTTTGGAGGTATGTAGTCATCTAATTTGGAAATATTTTTAAAAAATTTTTTTAATGAAAGTTTAAAGAGACTTTGGATTTCCATTCATTCATTGTTGCACTTTTCTTGCTGCCCACCCCTCCCTCAATTAATTTTTCTTTTTGAAAAGGAAAAGAAAAATTCTTTCACTGTTACTCAATCCCTCACTCCAAGTCTACTCCACTGTGCTACCATTCTGACATGTTATCCACTATTCCTAAGGGCCTGTGGTCTTTGGAACCTAACTGTGTCAGTAAGGGAGGGATGGATGGTACAAAGGTAAAAAAATTATCCAGGGTCCATTTACAGTCACCCAGAGACATTAGTGATCAATCACATATTCCATTGTCATTGTCAGACTTATTCCAGTTGTCAGCTTTATATTTTACATATTTTCCTCATATTCTAGTGTCTTTTTCAGTTGAGAGCCATGCATCTGATTACTGATTGAGACACCTTGGCTTCTCAAAGCAGCAGACAGATACTTGACCCATTGTTGTGCGTGCCAGTGGGTTTTGTGACCAGGCTGTATTCACACATGCTGTTCAGTTTCCTTTCAGTTACCTTCTGTGCGCAGAGCCTGAGTCTCGAGACATCCATCATCACCGTTTCCTTTTCCCTCCTCCCGTTGCCCCCACAGTCTTCCCAGGAGGGTGAAGCGAGGCAGCGCCGTTCAGCTTTTAATTGTGGGTGTCTGTCACGCATTTTGTTCTCTCTCCTTTATTCACCCATCATGTTTGCTTATATTTGATTCAGAGCACTAATTCTCTGAGGCAAGATTTTGTGCATCACCCACCACATTTCTATCATTTAAGTAGCATTTAGGAAGATCATTTAAGAACTTGGGAAAGAAAATACTGCTCTTTTAAAAACTATATCAGCTTTTAAAGACACGCGCTGGTAATGCAGTAGTCAAAATGTTACCAACTGCTAACTTGAAAGTCCGTGGTTCTTGCCCACCCTCCACTCCATGGGAGAAAGGGTGCTTCTGCCAAGATTTACAGCTTTGGGGCCGTTCTACTCTGTCTTTTAGGGTCACTGGGAGTCGGAATTAATTGACTGGATGACAGTGCGCTTTTTGGCATTAATGTTTGCTTTTTTTTCATCTTAGACACATGTTCCAGTTTTCCTGATGGTGAGCAAATAGGCCCTGAAGATCTCAGCTTCAATACTGATGAGAACAGTGGAAGGTAATTGCCAACCAAGCCAGGAGAACTGACTCCCAAGTTACCTAGACCCTGAAATTTGGTGTAGTTGGTGCTCAGATTTTTCATCAGTTAAATAACTAGATTTGGTCATCTTTATTTTTTGTTGTTGTTCTCATCATCTCTACCTGAAATAAATAGTAAATCTGAAATTATTAGAAAATGGTGTAAGACAGTCATACACGGGGGTGGGGGATAAGGAATGAACAGCGTGGGAAGAGTTCTTTATAATGTAATGCAATAAAAGTGTAGTCCTTGAAATTAATTTAGTAAATGAGTACATTCACAAAAGGCTGTTTGCTGCAATAGAAGGGCAATTAACTGTCAGAAAATGTACCTAGAGACAGTCCAGGCCTCCAGCGCACCACTCAGCCTCAGTGTTCTTGTTTTCGCTAGACGCTCTCTCACGTTTAAATGACCACCGTTATGTTTGAGGTTTTAATCAAGAGTTTATAGCTTCATTAGTGCCTGCAGAGTAAACAGAAAACACAAATAGATGCTGCCTTGTAGACAGTGTGTGAATACGTGAAGTAACACTAAACGAATCTCCTCTGTGGAGTTAATGTTGAAAAGCTAATTTCTCTTTTCACTTCTCCAAGTGCAGGCACACTGTTTAATGGCTCTGTGTCTCTTCTGTGTGACTTTTACAGTTATAATTTTAAATGAACCGTGTTAACAGGATTGGTTGATTTCTGATCAGGTGGACACATGGAAGATCACTACCCTTCATATACTTTCTACTGCCTCTTACAGAACAGCTGTCGTGCAACCAGTATTTTAAAATCTGTTTTATTTTCATTATTTAGACATTCAAGTCCCTGTGAATACATTTAAAGATCCATTCATATTATACAGTGACTTGCATGCAAGTAAAATTGTGGCACAGTGTTTTCTTTCGTAGTCACAGCTAGCCCCAAATTATTGCCAGACTTTACCATTAGGCTACTGCTTTTGTGTTTGAGTTGCTGTATTGTTTGTGAGAATTAACACTGACAGTTGACGGAAACTTACTGAAAAGGCATGAATGTATATATACAAGTGAGAGACATCTCATCTGCTTATATTTTACTTACTGAAAATTGTTCATGCTTCTATGTCCAGTGTCTTGCTGAATGCTGTGATTCATAGTTTACTTTTGTTCAACAGTTTGCACTTTTGTTAATAAAAGGAACTTGGGAAAGTACTGTTCTGCCTCTGCAATTTTTTTCAAAGGGCAACTAGGAATCTTTTTTTATCTCTTCAGACTCTCTATAGAGACTCTATAGCTCTAAGTATCTAAGTACATGTGTATGTGAAGGGTAGAAGACTTGTATATAATTGTCTTAGTAAAATATGGTTACTTATTTTTCTTAAAAGTTAATTGTAAAAATTTAAATACTATCATTTTAAGAAATAGAAATTAATAATTTTCTGACTACCACAGTGCTTGCTGTTCTAGTTTATTAGATTTTTTACTACTCTAAAACACTGTTAAGTTCTTTAACACATTACACTTTTTTAATAGATGGGAATACTCAGGTTCATTTTATTTTGATGAGATAATTTTTCTGTAATTTTTCATTGTGATTTGAGTGAAACTTTATTTCCATTCACCAGTTTAAGTGCTGAACCAGCCTTGCATTTATTAACTTAATCCACAGTTATGGTACATTATTCTTTTTTTATTCATTTTGGATTTGATTTTCTAGTATTTCAGATTTTTTAGTCCATGTTCACAAGAGATATTCATCTATAATTTTATTTCATAGTATTACCTTGGTTTGATTCTAGGATAATAATAGAGTGATTAGAAATTTCCTTGTCTACTTCTGTTTTCTCAAAGAGATTGTAGAGGATTGGGGTCATCTGTTTCCTTTTTGGAGATTTGGTAAAATTCATGAGTGTAACCCATCTCGGCCTGATGTTTCCTGTAGTTATAAGTTGTTAAAGATTATTAATTGCTACTTCACTTTGTTTAGCAGGTGTAAGTCTATTCAACTTACCTGTATCTCCTTGTATGGGTTTTGGTAGATTGTACCCTTCAAGGATTTGGTGCCTCAGTGATCAAATTTATGGGCATAGAGTTGTCAATCATGTGCCCTTTGTGGCTGTCACTTCACCTCTAACTCACAAAGACCTGGTGCCCATTTCCTTTATGTTTTTATTGGGATTAGTTGGAATGATCCCTCTTTTATCTCTGATAATATTTTTTTCATCGTTTTTTCTTCCTTGTGATTGATTAGCTTGACTAGAAGTTTCTCAGTTTTCATTATCTTTTCTAAGAATAGCTTTTGATTTGATTTTGTTGTTTCCTGTTTACAGTTTTATCAACTTCAGTGCTACCGCCTTTTGTTTTTCAAAATATTAACACCATATGTGGTTAGGAACCAAAATAGAAAAAAAAAAAAAAAAAAGGAACCAAAATAGAGAGGAGTAAGAATACACTTATCATATGGGGACATTACTTGAAAAGCTTTCAGCACAAGTGTGATTTAGTAAGATTTTCAGTTACTTTTTGTGTCTGCGTTTTGAGATAGTTCTTTGGATCCTCTTTCCTCTCCACTGTATTACATTTTGTTTTCTAATTGTAAATGTTCTCCTAAAAAACACATTGCTATCGAGTCAGAACAGCCTCAAAGCTGATATTCAGACAGTTTTTTCTTCCCTCTGCAAGTTGTCTTGAAGTGTGTTTTGGGCTTTTCCTTATTTTAAGATCCTTGGAGTCTGCTAACATTCCAGTGATCTGTTGGTCACTTGAATCTTAGGTATTACTCTTGTTTTTCTTTGCTTTTAGCAGATGTTGCATAAATGCAATGAGTACTGCCCTTAGTTCAGATGAATTGAAATTGTGTTGAGACCCTTTTAAATTGATGTAAGGAAACAGAAAAAATATTTCTCTTACTTGTGTAAAAATCTTGTAGGGAAAAGAGTTCACTTAATTGGCCTGTTCTTGTGTATCTGAGGAACTCATTTTCTGCACTATATTTGTATTCAATAGAGAAGCCTGTCTCTTATAAAGGGGCTGGAAGAGTGAGCTTATATACACGTGATAATGTAATTACTCCTTCAGTGTAAAGCTTTCCATTTTTATAATTAAAGAATAAA